TGCCCTCCCTTCGTGCTGCTCTGCTGTTCATGCGCTACCTTGCTCTGCCTGCTATGGCTTCTCTCAGTGCACTCAGCTTCGATCATGAGGGCCGTCCGATTCAGTTCGATACGTGGCTCGACGACTTACAGCTGTACCTTCTGAGCGTTTCTAGAGACAGCGTTTTGTTGTTTGACCACACGTCTGGAGCCTCTCTTGCCCCTCCCGCCACAACTGACAGTGCGACTCGCTCACAGTGGCTTACCCGTGACGCTGCTGCTTGCTTAGCCGTTCGAAACCACCTTCCGTTAGCCGAACGCGCTCACTTCGGACAGCACAAGACTGCTAAAGCACTGTATGACGCTGTAGTCGCCCGTTACTCCTCCCCTGCCCCTGCTGCTCTAAGCCGTCTTCTACTGCCCTACCTGTTTCCCGAGCTGTCCGCTTTTGCCACGGTAGAGGACCTCGTTACCCACCTTCGCACTAGCGACGCTCGCTACCGCTCTGCCCTCCCAGCCGAGTTCCTAGACAGGAACCCGCCCCCGATGTACATCACTCTCTACTTCATAGTCACCCGCCTCCCTAACTCTCTTCGCGCAGTCAGGGACCACTTTCTTGCACTTGACCCAACCGACCTCACTGTCGGCCTGCTCGAGAAGCACCTCCTTGCAGCAGAAACTAGCGTAGTCGCTGTAGGTGCTGCTCGTGGCACTCCCCGCACTCCCTTCTTTGAGGGATGTTCCCCCTCCCCCCTTGCCCTCTCCTACGCTTCTGCTGCTGCTGTTGACGTCCTTCGTGCTGAGGATGTCGGGGCTGCTTCTGCTATTGGTGGGAAGCGCCACAACAGCAAGGGCAAGGGTGGGAGTGGTGGAGGGGGCAGCGGGGGTGGTGGTGGTGGTGGCAGTGGAGGTGGTGGAGGTAGCGAAGGTGGTGGCAGCGGTAGGAGTGGTGACAGGAGTGGGAGCTTTGGTGGCGGGAGCGGTGGGGGCGGTGTAGGTGGCGGTCGTGGCAGCGGTGGAAGTGGTGGAAAAAGGGGTGGAGCTGTTCAGAGGGGAGGTTCTGGCCCGAGGCAGCAGCAGCAGCAGCAGCGTCGGAGCGAGACCCCTTCGCCACAGCAGCTTCGTGAGTGGTTTGCTCAGTGTGGGGCGTCTGGGGGTAGTGTTAGTTTCTCGTATGTCACTCGCACGGGTGACCGTGCTGGTCAGACATGCGGGAAGCCTCACACTCAGCACCGCTGCTTCTCCCGCCTAGACGACGCTTGGCGCGCAGAGTTCGGTGACGAGGCCGAGCGCCCCCACTGGGCAGAGCTGCTTAGGTCTGGAGTTGCTATCTTTGATCTTGACTATGATGCTATCCTTGCTGCTATGTATGCCTTGTCTGTTAGTGCTGAGGGTGACTGTTACCTGTGTGTGCCACCTGACCCAGGTATAGAGGCTGCTGCTCTAGGTGCTAGTGAGTCTGCTCTCCCTGGTACTGCGCCTGCTGAGGCCTTGCACACCTTTACGCTTGACTCAGATGCTTCACGCTATTTCTTTTGCAACAGCACCACCCTAACTCCTCTCTCTGCACCTGTACCGGTCAGACTGGCTGACCCCTCAAGGGGGCCATTTCTTGCCCGTTCCTCCACTGTTCTCCCGTGCCCGGCGGTTCCGTCTGGTTCACTCTCAGGTCTTCACCTCCCCTCGTTCTCTACGAACTTGGTGAGTACCGCTGCCCTCCAGGATGCGATCGTCACTACCACCACTCCTGGGGGTCAGCGTGTGTCGATTTGCACGTGTACACAGACGGGCCGTCACCTGGCCACGTTCACCCGTCGGCCTGGGTCGAGTCTGTACACACTAGCTAGCAAGCCTTCTTAGGTAGCTGCGTCTGCCCAGGTGTCCGCGTCAGGTCCGGTAGCACCCCCCTCCTCGTGTCGCCTCTTGTCACACCAGACTCTCCTGTGGCACCAGCGCCTTGGTCACCCCTCCCTGCCACGCCTTCGTGGCATGCACTCCCGCCTCCTTGTTTCTGGTCTTCCCAGGTCTCTGCCTCCCCTCCCGCCCGTGCCTGCCCCGCCCTGCCTTCCTTGCGTCGAGGGGCGGCAGCGCGCCGCTCCTCACTCCTCCTCGTTTCCCCTTACGATTGCTCCCCTACGAACACTCCATATGGACGTGTGGGGCCCAGCCCGCGTCAGTGGATAGGGCCGCGAGCGCTACTTTCTGCTGGTTGTCGACGACTATACGCGTTACACCACGGTCTTCCCCTTGCGCAGCAAGGGTGAGGTCCCTGATGTCTTGATCCCTTGGATCCGCGTAGTCCGTCTCCAGCTCCGCGAGCGGTTCCGAGAGGACCTTCCTGTCATGCGTCTGCACTCTGACAGAGGTGGTGAATTCTCCTCCGACCTCTTGCGGGACTTTTGTCGTGGGGAGGGCATCCTCCACTCAATCACGCTTCCGGCCTCACCGCAGCAAAATGGGATTGCTGAGCGCCGCATTGGCTTAGTCATGGAGGTGGCTCGTACCTCCATGATCCATGCGGGTGCTCCCTATTTTCTGTTGCCGTTTGCGCTCCGGTACACTGCGCATCAGCTCAACCTCTGGCCCCGTGTCTCCTTACCGGAGACCTCGCCCACACTTTGTTGGACGGGGAAGGTTGGCGATGCGACGGTGTTCCGGGTCTGGGGCTCTTATGCCTTTGTTCGCGATACGTCCGCGAACAAGCTCTCTTCCCGCGCTATTCTCGGCGTCTTCCTTGGCTTTCCCCCTGACGTGCCTGACTGGCAGTTTTACCACCCCACCTCGCGCCATGTCCTTCCCTCTCAGGACGTCACGTTTAACAAGTCGGTTCCTTTTTACCGTCTCTTTCCCTACCGCTCTGCCCCTCTCCCACCCCCGCCGCTCTTCCTTGCTCCAGGTCCCCCTCTGGTAGACCCCCTCCCCCCTCAGGGTCCTGCTCCCTCAGGTGTCTCTCAGGTAGACCCACTCTCCGGGACTGTGCCTGTCAAGGTCACTGTAGACTCAGGTGCTTCTAGGGGTACTGCGTCTGGGGGTGCTGCGTCTGGGGGTGCTGAGCCTGCGAGTGTGGAGCCTGGGGGTGCTGAGCCTGCGGGTGCGGAGCCTAGGGGTGCTGAGTCTGAGGGTGCGGAGTTTGGGGGTGCTGAGCCTGGGGGTGCGGAGTCTGGGGGTGCTGAGCCTGGGGGTGCAGAGCCTGGGGTTACTGAGCCTGAGGGTGCGGAGCCTGGGGGTGCTGAGTCTGAGGGTGCGGAGTCTGAGGGTGCGGAGTCTGGGGGTGCTGCGCCTTGGGGTACTGCGTCTGCTGGAGGTCCTGCGGGTGCCTCGCTACGACTGTCTCCCCGGCGGGAGCCTCTCTCCGCTCCGCAGCTGCGCGAGAGGTTTTCTCAGCGCACTCACCTTAGGAGTGGAGCTGCCGGAGCTGGAGCCTATGCTGCTGGTGGCACTGAAGTTGGAGGTACTGGAGCTACTCGTCTTGGAGGTGCTGGAGTTCCTGCTGGAGCTGGGGGTACAGGAGGTGCTGGTGCTGCTGGTCCTGGAGGTGCTCATACTAGAGGTGCTGGAGCTGTCAGGGCTGGTGGTGTTGGAGGCGCTGGAGCTGGAGGAGCTGGAGCTGGAGACCCTGGCGCTGGAGGCGCTGGAGCTGGAGACACTGGCGCTGGTGGCGCTGGAGCTGGAGGAGCTGGAGCTGGAGGCACTGGCGGCGCTGGAGCTGGAGGCACTGGCGGCGCTGGAGCTGGAGGAGCTGGAGGTGGAGACCCTGGCGCTGGAGGCGTTGGAGCTGGAGGCACTGGAGCTAGAGGAGCTGGAGCTAGAGACCTAGGAGCTGGAGGCGCTCAAGCTGGAGGCAATGGCACTGGAGGCATTGGAGCTATTGACCTTGCAGCTGGAGGTGTTGGTGCTGGGGGTACTGGAGCAGGCGGTACTGGTGCTGGAGGCACTGTGCAGCGGCGACTGTTTTTCGTTCAGCCGCCTCCGTCGTCTCTGCCTCCACCTGATTCGGTCCTTCACCAGGTTATTAGTCTCTCGTGTTCTAATGGCCTTCCTCCTAGCTAACTGAGTCCCCCGCCTTGCCGGTCACAGCCGGAGTTACAGCCAGACTCCCCACTGCCTGCTCCTTCTCCTTACGCTGAGCAGATAGACTCTTTTGTTGAAAACATATTTTATATAAACTGTCCTTTGCATTAACTGTAGTGTAGGTTCATACTTTGTTGGTGGTGCACCCCTAGCTCTTGCCTATATGTACTGTTCTTCCTATAGTGCAAACATCCCTTCTCTACTTTTTCTCTCGATATTTACCTTGGCTCACCTACTAGTTTGACATGCTATCAGAGTAGGTCGTTCCTAGGACCTAACATTCATGGGCCCACCACCTACTGCCCTGCTAGCCTAGGCCCCGGCCCGTCGCCCCTTGGCGTCGCCCCTAGCCCCTAGGCTCGGCCCCTAGGCCCCGTCGCTCACGGCCCCTCGGCCCCGTCGCTCACGGCCCCTAGGCCCCGGCCCGTCGCTGCCCCTAGCTCGGCCCCTAGGCCCCGCTCCGTCGCCCCTAGTCGCGCCACTCGGCCCCGTTGGCCCCGTCGCCCCTAGCCGCGCCCCTTGGCCCCGTTGGCCCCGTCGACCCCGTCGACCCCGTCGCCCCTAGCCGCGCCTCTCGGCCCCGTTGGCCCCGTCGCCCCTAGCCGCGCCCCACGGTCCCGTTGGCCCCGTCGACCCCGTCGCCCCTAGCTGCGCCACTCGGCCCCGTTGGCCCCGTCGCCCCTAGCCGCGCCCCTTGGCCCCATTGGCCCCGTCGACCCCGTCGCCCCTAGCCGCGCCACTCGGCCCCGTTGGCCCCGTCGCCCCTAGCCGCGCCTCTCGGCCCCGTTGGCCCCATCGCCCCTAGCCGCGCCCCTCGGCCTCGTTGGCCTCGTCGACCCCGTCGCCCCTAGCCGCGCACCTTGGCCCCGTCGCCCCCCGTCGCCCCCAGCTGCGGCCCCTCGCGACCCCAGGCCCCGTCGCCTCGGCCCCTTGGCCCCGTCGCCCCTAGCCATGGCCCCTCGCAACCTTCCGCCCCTAACCGCGGCCCCGTCGCCTCTAGCCTCGGCCCCTAGCGACCTGTCGCCCCTAGACGCGGCCCCGGTGCCCCGTCGCATCATGGAGGGTAAGGGGGTGGCAAGAGGGGTGACGGCTTCCTGCCCACGTGCCCTGCAGTCGCACGAGCAGCTCCGTCCCCGCCCCCCTCTCCCCCCTCCCCCCCCTCCATGGGGACGGGGGGGAGAGGGTGTGAGGGGGTGGCGGATGTGCCTCAGCAGCAGCAGCTGCCACCACGCCTCCTCCTCTCTCTCTCCCTGCCGCACCTTGTGTTGGGAGGGGGGGGGGAGCTTGGAGGTTTAGGGGGAGGCAGGAGGGGATCTGCAGCACCAGCCCCCCCCCCGCCCCCCCATTCTCCTCCACCCCTGGGGGGTGAAGGATTGTGGAGCAGCAGTGGGGGGGAGGGGATCTGCAGCACCAGCCCCCCCCCGCCCCCCCCCTTCTCCTACCTCCCCCTGCTGCGGGTGCAGCAGTGGGGGGGAGGGGATCTGCAGCACCAACCCCCCCCGTCCCCCCACTTCTCCTTCATCCCTGGGGGGTGAAGGATAGTGGAGCAGCAGTGGGGGGGAGGGGATTTGCAGCATCAGCCCCCCCCCCCCCCCCCGCCCCCCCCCTTCTCCTCTCTCTCTCCCTGCCGCAGGGGGGGGTGCTTGGAGGTTCAGGGGGAGGCAGGAGGGAATCTGCAGCACCCAGCCCCCCCCCACTACTCCTCCATCCCCCTGCTGCGGGTGCAGCGGTGGGGGGGAGGGGATCTGCAGCCCTGTGCGCCCTGCTGCCCTGTTCGCCCTAAGCGCCCCGCGCGCCCTGCTGCTCCTATTGCAGTTGGGTAAGGGGGGAGGGTGAAGGGGTGGCGGAAGGGGTGTAGTTTGGGGGGTGGCTGAAAGAAGGGTGCGGTTTTGGGGGGTGGTCTAACAGGGGGGGGGGGTGAGGTTTAGGGGGGTGGCTGACAAAGGGTGTGGACTTGGAGGTTCGTAAGAGGGGCTCGCCGCGCTTGGCTCCCCCCCACCTCCTCTCCTCCCTCTCTCACCCCCCCCCCTCTGTAAAAAGGAGGTTCGTAAGAGGGGTTTCGCCGCGCTTGGCTCCCCCCACCTCCTTTCCTCATCTCTCTCTCTATCACCTCCCCCTTTGTAATGAGGGGGTTTGTAAGAGGGGCTCGCCGCGCTTGGCTCCCCCCACCTCCTCTCCTCATCTCTCTCTCTCTCTCCTCCTCCTCACATGCCCTCTCCTACTTCTGCTGCGCTCTGCCTTGGGTGTACCCCTTCAAGGGGTGTTGACTGCACTGGTTATTGGTATGAACAGTTTAGGGGGTGTGTTGAAAACATATTTTATATAAACTGTCTTTTGCATTAACTGTAGTGTAGGTTCATACTTTGTTGGTGGTGCACCCCTAGCTCTTGCCTAAATGTATTGTTCTTCCTATAGTGCAAACATCCCTTCTCTACTTTTTCTCTCGATATTTACCTTGGCTCACCTAGTAGTTTGACATCTATTACAGGGCGTCGTGAGCCTGAGTCTCGTCCTGCCTCGCCTGTTTGCACTGTTCGCACTGGTCGTCGTGTTCCTCGTTCGCGTCCTCCTCCTGTCCCAGGCACACACGTTATGGCACTTCGTCCTTCCTCTATGCCACTGCGTGTCAGAAGAACGAACGAGAATGATTGCATTGAACAGAAAGTTGGGTACAAGTACTAACCCTAATTGGGTTGTACCCCTTATGGGCTACCCCACTATAGCCTACACAAATGTAAGCACTATATCATTCTGACACTCCCCCATAGGATAGGTGGGGGAGAACAAGTGGGCACAAGACCAGTCAAGAAAAGCAAAACAAGCTCAGGGTGGATCACAAAGTCACCACACAGTCCGAGCACAAGCAAAGGGCCACAAGGCCAGTTCACATGCAGAGTTACATAAAAGAGAACAAACAATACAGTGATCATACCCTATCAAGGGTAAGGATGCAGGTATATATATAGATCACAGTACAAGCAAAGTCTCGCAGTGAGCAAGTGAGGCAAAGTAGGCACAAGGCCTAACACAGTAGAGAAGCATTGATGATCACCAGGCGGAAGTGCCTTGGTGAATATATCAGCAGTGTTGGCCCTAGTGGCCACGTATGGAAGACGAAGCTGGCCATGCTGCTAAAACTCTCGAGCAAGGAAGTATCGCAGAGCGATGTGCTTCGTTCTGTGCTCAAGTCTGTGCTCCTGACACAAGGCAATCATGGCCTTGTTGTCTATGTACAGAACTGGAGGCGAACGAGGCTGCTCTCCCAAGTCAGTCAGCAGGAAGGTGAGCCAGCGTAGCTCCTGTGCAGCCATGGCCCCGGCGTAGATCTCAGCCTCACAACTGGAGCTGAGAACCGAAGACGAGCGAGTAGACCGCCAGGAAACACAGCCGGAACAAAGGCTGAAGGTGTAACCCTGTGACGACCGCTGCGTAGCTGAGTCGTCAACCCAAGAAGCGTCTGCGTGACCAGTAAGGACAACAAGACCCCGTCCTCCAAGCACGAGCCCCATGCCCAACGTACTGCACAAGTAACGCAGTACCCTCTTCGCAGCATCCCAGTGCACCTTTCGGTGCCTACCGGGAACCACGTAGCAAGCCAGGAGGCTGAGATGGTACGCAAGGTCAGGTCGTGTGCACGTCATCAGGTTCATGAGGCAACCCACAAGCTCTGGGTACGGACCACTCGGCTCTACAGACTCGTCCGAAGGTGAAGCTGAGAGCAAGTGGCTAGTAGACAGAGGAGTGGGTTGTGGCGAGGAGAACTGGAAGCCGAAGCGCTGAAGGACCTGGTGCACCATGAATGACTGAGTCAGGGTGATGGTGCGCCGTGCTCTGTCCCGGGTGATCTGCAAGCCAAGCTAGCTACGCAGTTCACCCAGGTCAGTGCAACTGTGTCTCTTCTACAGCTCCGACTTCACAAGGGTTAGTGCCTCAGTGTCACCAGTGGCAAAGACGAGGTCGTCGACGTAGACGAGGACGTAGAACGGCGGCAGTGACGTGTCGGTGCGTAGAAACAGCGACGGGTCAGCAGTAGAAGGAGTAAACCCCAGAGCCGCAAGTGTAGTCCTCAGTGTGTCATGCCACTCGCGAGGCGCCTGGCGGAGATCGTAGACTGACCGCCGGAGGCTCCACTGGGTACCTGCAGGAAACGACCCGGTGAAGCCAGGTGGGCGGCGCAACCAGATATCCTCGTGCAGGCTGCCCTGCAAGAAAGCTGTACTGAAGTCCAGAGAGTGCAACTCGTAGTCACGTTGAGCAGCGACATGCAGCAACACCTGAAGAGTAGTCATCTTTGGGGTGGGGGAGAAGGTCTAGCAACGTAACGCGCCTTGAAGGCAGGCGGAGAACCCGGCGGCCGCTTCACCCTGAAAATCCACATGCCATCGACTATGTTTGCCTGAGACGGGGGAACGGCGTCAACGTAGGTGCCTGTGGACTTCCAGGATGCCATCTCGGCATCCATGGCTGCCTGTCACTGAGAGGAGTAAGGACCCGTAATCGCCTCTGCGTAGAGTGCGGGGTCGAGATGTCTGGTGCATCCGGGTCTCCCTCAGGGGCAAGCAGCATGGAAGCGAAACAAGGTATAGCAGCTTCAAGACACTCAAATTCCTCCTGCTTGTCCTCAAGGACGTCCGTGCCAAGAGCACACTCACCCCCGATGGACGGAGGACTGGCAGACTCAGACTCAGCAACAAGAGTAGTGGCGTAGTCTAGACGACAGGCAGCAGCAAAGTCAACGAGCTCAGCAACGAGGGCAGATGTAGCAGAAGACTCAAATGAAGGGTCTGTGACAATAGTGGCGAGGAGACGAGAGACAGTGGGACGGGCACCACGAGCGCAGTTAGACTCAGGGTCAGAGACCTCAAGAAGAGAGGACTCAGGAGGAGGCGGCAGAGGAAAACGCAGTGGAACAGAGGAAGGACGAAGTGCCATAGCGTGCGTGCCGGGGACAGGAGGAGGACGCAGACGAGGAACGTTACAACCAGTGCAAACAGGGGAGGCAGGACGAGACGCAGGCTCACGACGCTCTGTAAGACCGCCGGTCTGCTCCGTGTAAGGAGAAGGAGCAGGGAGTGGGGAGGCTGGCGGTAAAGGCGGCTGCGACTAGTCAAGCGGTGGACATAGTAAGGGAGGAGTAAGGCCAGTAGAAGACGGGACACCAAGAACCTGCTGAAGCAGTGGAACGAAGTATGGTCGCGGCTGCACTGTGCCTCCAGCACCTCCACCTCCAAGGTCAACAGCTCCAGCTCCTCCAGCTCCAGTGCCTCCAGCTCCAGCGCCCACAGCTCCTGCTCCTCCAGCCCCAGCAACTCCGAGCTCCGTAGGGTCTCCAGGTCCAGCTCCCTCAACACCACCAGTCCCAGCAGCTCTAGTACCCCTGGTACGAGCACCTCCAGGACCAGCAGCTGCAGCACCTGCGGCACCACCAGCTCTAGCAGTTACTCCAGCACCTCCAACTCCATAGTCTCCAGCGGCAGAGTCTCCAGCTCCGGCAGCTCCACTCCGACGACGTGTGTGCTGAGAAAACCACTCGCGCAGCTGCTGCAGGGAGAGAGGCTCCGGCCTGCGGGACAGTCGTGGCGAAGCACCCGCAGGACCTCCAGAAGAAGCAATACCCCTCGGCTCAGCACCCCCAGACTCCGCACCCTCAGACTCAGCACCCTAAGGGTCCAGACCCCCAGGCTCCACACCCTCAGGCTCAGCACCCCCAAGCTCCACACCCGCAGGCTCAGCACCCCGAGGCTCCGCACCCCTAGGCTCAGCACCCCCAGACCCGGCACCCTCAGACTCAACACCCCCAGAACCGGCACCCACAGACGCAACACCCCCAGACTTAGCACCTCGAGCAGCACCTGAGCCGACAGCTACCTCAACCGGCGCAGTACCAAGGAGAGGGTCTACCTGAGACACACCTGAGGGAGCAGGACCCTGAGGGGGGAGGGGGTCTACCGGAGGAGGACCTGGAGCAAGGAAGAGCGGTGGGGGCGCGGGAGGGCCAGAGCGGTAGGGGAAGAGATGGTAAAAGGGAACCGAAGCGTCAAACGTGACGTCCTGAGAGGGGAACACACGGCGCGAGGTGGGGTGGTAAAACTGCCAGCCAGGCGCATCAGGGGAAAAGTCAAGGAAGACGCAAGGAATAACGCGGGCCAAGAGCTTGTCCGCGGACGTATCGTGAACAAAGGCACAAGAACCCCAGACCCGGAACACCGACGCATCGCCAACCTTCCCCGTCCAACGCAGTGTAGGGGAGGTCTCCGGCAAGGAGACACGGGGCCAGCGGTTGAGCTGATGCGCAGTGTACCAGACCGCAAATGGCCACAAGAAATGGGGAGCAACCACATGGATCATGGAGGTACGAGCCACCTCCATGACTAAACCAATGCGGCGCCCAGCAATCCCATTTTGCTGAGGGCAGTCCGGAAGCATGAACGACTGGAGAATGCCCTCCCCACGACAAAATTCCCGCAAGAGGTCGGAGGAGAACTCACCACCTCTGTCAGAGTGCAGACGTAGGACAGGAAGGTCGTGGCGGAACCGCTCGCGGAGCTGGAGACGGACTGCGCGGATCCAAGGGATCAAGACATCAACGACCTCACCCTTGCTGCGCAAGGGGAAGACCGTGGTGTACCGCGTGTAGTCGTCAACTACCAGCAGAAAGTAGCGCTCGCGGCCCTGTCTACAGACGCGGGCTGGGCCCCACACGTCCATGTGGAGAGTCTGCAGGGGAGCAGACGTCGGGGGAAACGAGGAGGAGTGAGGAGCGGCGCGATGCCGCCCCTCGACGCAAGGAAGGCAGGGCGGGGCAGGCGAGGGCGGGAGGGGA